ATGAATGTGATATATAAAAAATGTAATAATTAGTTGAATAAAATATTTAAAAAATGTGATATCAATAACGAAAAAGACAAATATTCTAGTTAATAAAGTTTGTATTATCTATATGGTTAACAAAATAAAGAGAATCTGTGTATAGAGTTAATGACACAAAAGGTTCCTCAACCATACACATGTACACAAAGCTAACAAAGGTGTTGGCAAGTCATGAAACCCCTGGTCATCGGAGGTGCAGACCGGGGGGTGGCTGGTGGCTGACCGGCAAGATGGTCAGAGATGTAGAAGAGATGCAAACCATGGAGTGAGTTGTTCGGAGATGTGAAGCCTAGATCTCTGTGTGTATATATATATTATAACTATAACTCTTATATATATATATATATATATATATTGTAAAAGATAAATTTTATATATTTATACTATATTATAAAATATTTGACAAAAACTCTTAACAACCATTTTTATGCATGAAGTACTGTTTATTGATTCATATTACTTAAAATTGAAGATTACAAGTAAATTGTGCGTAAGTATAACTTTTTAAACCTCCATGTTTGAACTCGTTTAACTAACTACAAATTAATATAATCAAATAGAGGATAAACATCTCATCTTAAATATAAAAAATCTAAAATATAATTAGAATAATTATTGAGTTCTAACAAAATACTTGATTATTATTTTTATATAAAATTGTATTATTAAACCAAAAATTAATAACTTCGTTATCAAACCTAAATTAAATTATAATAAAAAAATGAATTAAATAAATTACTCCAAAAGAACAAGCATTTTTTAAATAGTTAGTTTGATACTAATATCAATATATATATATATATATGTATATATTTTTTTTTCAAAATTTTATGATATCTTCATATTTATATTTTATTCAAAATAAAAACATTATCGATTTCTCAAACCGTATTATAACATCGAACGAGACAAAAAAAATATTAAAATCAAGATGTCTCTCGCTGCATTATACGAGTACCCTTCTAGTTATATATCATATACATAAAGATAAATTTTACATATTATATTATATAAATAATAGAAATATATTAATTAATTATATTTTTAATTACAAAGTAACAGAAAATTGGAAAAGTCTAAAATACAACTTTATCTAACGTAATTTTTTAACAACCGTTAAAAAGAGAGACCAAATCCGAATATTTTTGCAAACCAGCTGTATTTTAAAAACTTTAGGAACAAAAATTGTTATAACCAACAAACCAAGTGACCAAATTTGTAGTAATTTAGATTTCTTTAAATGTTATATAAATCTATGGGTTTCTAAAACTTGATTTGTTCACAGGGAAATTGTAATATAAGTTCCCAAAAATCCTCAAGTTTCCATTTTTGTCCACAACAATGGAAAATATAAATATTATAACATTTGAAATATTTTATATTCTTATATATAGGGAGTGTTTGAGATTGCTTATAAAAACAACTTATTGACTTATTTCGGTATGATCCCGGTAATAAGTACTTTGAGTGTTTAGATAAACAACTTATACCGGTGCCAAACTGTTAATAAGAAGTTTTTGAAAAAAATTAAACAATTCTAACTTATAATAAGTTGATAAGTACTTTTATAGAAAATTATAAGTTGTTTCAAATAAGCAATCCCAAACACCACCATAATACTTTAACACTAGTATTATTGAAAAACCAAGGATGCATTTGGTTTGACAGATCTTGGAATGGTTTGTAATCCGAAGTATTTGGAGTTGGGAAGACTTGAAATTTTTGGCATGTTTGGTTTATAAAATTAATAATAAAATTGAATTTTATTATTTATATAAAAATAAATCATAAATAATTATAAAATTAACTAATTTTTTTAAATTGAAGTATAAAATGAAAGTTTTTAACACATTTTAAAAACATTATTACAAGCAAATTCTATAAAATCCCATGAGATACCAACTACTTCAAATAGAATTTTTAAATCCAATATTTGTAGCATTTCAACTCCAAACTTCCCTTTAAATCAAATGCGAGATTCAAATGAATCCAATTCTAAATCCCAATTGCTAACAAATCCCAACAAACCCGTCTGGTTTAATGAAGTGTTTTTGAAGGATTTAGATTTTGTTAAAGTATTTAAAATTAGGAATTTTTCGATTTTAAATTGAAATGATATGAAATTTTTGATATAATTAATTTGTAAGATTTGAAATGAAATCGGAGAATCTTGAATTGAAGTCTAAGGGGGCATTTGGTTCGTAGAATAAAATTCAATAGAATTGGAATTCATCAAATGAATTTGACTTTGAGGGAATGTAATGGAATTTGATGGAATTTGACCATGATTGCGTTTGGTTGAATGGAATTGGAATGAAATTGGAATTTTTTTGTTTCGTTCACGGAATTTAACGAGAAAATTACATAGACGACATTTCAAGAAAATCCTTTTTAGGATGGAGAGAGAGAGAGAATACCAGATCGAGCAGTTTTGAATAGGGATGACAAAAAACCTGAAACCGATGGTGAAAACCGAAAATCGAAAACCGAAACTTTTCGACCGGGTTTGGGGACATCTTATCGGGGACGAGGCGGAGACGGTGATCATCGGCTCGACCCGTCCTGATATGTGTATATATTAATTTAATTTATGTACATACATATATACATACATAGACTTGGGATCACGTGAGACCAGCCTGTTTTCGTGAGACCCGTGAGACCAACTGTTTACATTTGAAACTTCACAGCAAAATGTGTGAAGGTAACCTTCACAGTGTTTTTGTTGTGAAGATTCGACTTTTTTAAACCTTCACAGTGTTTTTGCTGTGAAGTTTCAAGTATAAAAATATGGTCTCACGGGTCTCACGAAAACAACCTGGTCTCACGTGAACCCAACCCTACATACATATATACATATATATATATATATATATCATTAAAAAAAATAGTAACATTAAAATTTAAAAAAAAATTATCCACTTTACTTCAACAATCCAAATAAGGCTTACTAAAAAATCTAGTTTATTTGTTTAATTGTGAAATCGTGAATTTAGTTGTATGATGTTTGAAGTTCTGTTTAGTTTTATATTGTAATCTAATACATTGTTTATAACTGGTTCGATTATGTCTAAGACATTTAAACTTGCATTTTTTTTTAAAATTGTAATTTACTTTTAGTTGTGAAAATTAACATATTGTAATTTTTTTAGATCTGTTTCGAGTTTCGGTTTCGTGTTTGGTTATAACCTACGGTGAACGGGAAAAAAGAGGATTTTACCTTAACGAGTTCCCCAACGGGGATAGGGAAAACCGTGGGGACCCGATGGGGATACCCGACGGGGATCGGGGCGGTCACGGGGATGGTTTTAGTTATCGGTTTCGGGGACGGGGATACCAATAACCGGCCCGAACCTGGCCCGTTGCCATTCTTAGTTTTAAACGAGATTGAGCAAAGAAGATCGAGCATAGCAGAGTAGAGAAAATCGAGATACAACGTCGATGAATTTGGATGAGGGCTAAGGAATTTGTCGGATTGGAATTTGAAATCCGTGGTATATGCGGTGGAATTGTGAAATCAATAACTTAAGGAATTTGTTGGAATTGGAAGGATTCCTTCACATTCATTATGTGAACCAAACATAGTATTTGAAATTTGGTTAAAGATTTGGACATTCCAAATCCTTCTAATTCCACCAAATTCCATGAATCAAACACCCCCTAAGGATCGGGGTGGAGGTTGATTTGTGCAAATATTTGAGGCTTCTAGTCAAAGGGTTGAGTTCCGGTAAGAAGAAAAGTTATGGTGAAAAACGGAAGAAGAGATTTTCATCTTTAGATCAATCATAATTAAATGTCAACATTAATAAAATATACTGATATATACTAGATCAATTCACTTTTGAAACATAATTTATAGATAAACATGAAATTAAAAATATCAAGGATTCAAATATCTTTTTATCATTTATCGGTAGGGGTGAACGCGGGTTGGGTTGAGCGGTTTACAACAATTTTACAACCCAACCCAATTATGACGGTTTGGAAAATCTCAACCCAACCTATTCAAAAGTATAACCCAACCCAACCCAACCCTTGCGGGTTGAGGTGGGTTGGGTTGGGTTGACGGGTTAGTAGTTACATAATTTGACGAATGAAATAATTCATAAATCTTAAGTTTATATACCATACCATAAAGCGTCCTATCTAAAAGTGTTACAATAGGTTTATAGGACGTTTTTTGACGTTTCAACAAGTGTTTAGAATGATCTTTAAATAAAATGTCGTATTAGTTATTTTATAGAAACATTTTGAGAAGTGTCCCGCAAAGTCATCTATTTATAGGACATCTATGCTCATATGACATTTTTTCAAGTCGTGTTGTATAAAATAACTAATACGACACTTTATTTTAAAAGCATCATCAGATTTGTTAAGACGTCCAAAACATCCTATAAACATATTGGAACTCTTTTAGATAAGACATTTTTTAATGTAACTCTTTAAAGGCGTCATAGATTGATGGATTCGTCCATCAAATATCTATCAATATCATTCATATTTTCCAACATATCAATTTGTTGTTGTTGCAAAAAAATCAATAATTTTCCTTATTAATTAGATTATTTGTCATCTTTCTTTGATCGTGAATCTCTTTTGGTAACCTATACGTTTAGTTAAAATGAAACAAAATATAATATCAATAAAAATTATATAAAATTTATACATTATTAATATATATATATATATACATAATAACCATATATATATATAATTTTATAAAAATTATATATTAACGGCGGGTTGACGGGTTGAGCTAGTCTCAACCCAATTTCAACCCTCCTAATTGGTGGGTTAGCGGTTTGGCGGGTGGGCAATTTGACGGGTAGACGGGTTCGATTTAATTGGGTTGTTAACGGGTTAGGTTGGACGAGTTTTACGGGTTGACGGTTTTTTGTTCACCCTATGTATCGGGAGAACTTGTATTTCTCACACAAGACTTCGCCTCAAGTCAAATTGTGCAAGTATAGGGGTTCTGTTTGTATTTTTCAATAAAACAATATCCAAACCCTTCCCTCCTGTAACCTCTTTGGAACAGACTCTCCTAACCTCCTCCAATGTCCACGAATTTGGGCCTATCAATGGCTTCTTCCACAATCCCTTGTTGTTCACCTGCTTCTTCTTCATCGCCGTCGCTCCGGCGAACCACGGTTAAGACCCACTGTTCCATACGTACTAGAAACAGTATCAAAGCTCCGTTTCCTCCTCTAAACCCTAAAGATCCATTTCTTTCCAAGCTCGCATCAGTGGCAGCTAGTTCACCGGAGAAGCTCCTCAATCGGCCAACTAACTCCGATACGCCGCCGTACTTGGACCTTTTTGAATCCCCGACGCTCATGGCTACTCCTGCCACAGTACATAATCTTATTTTCTTATTCAATTTTATGTGCTTATTCGTTTGTCCTTTAACTTTCACTAGGTGTGATAGCCATTTCATTGCCTGTTGTTAAACTGGTATTAGTAATATATCTTCCATCAGAAATCTGGATGTATCATAGAAGCAATCCAAACCCTAGCTCAATTTTAGAGTATTTTGATTCCGTCAAAAATAGGGATACATAATTATTCCGATGGAACAAGGATCAAATACAGATGTTTCTTGTGTTATTCTAGGATGAGTAACTGCGGATTGTAAAACCAAAAATGAAACTGTTTGAATGTCGAGGTTTAACCTTGCAACAGAACAGTTACTTTTGTGATTTGAACCCATGAAGCTGCTATTTGTTGCTGAGGAGCAGCCTTGACTGGAACTACAGTTCCTCACATGATAAAAGTAGTGATATAATTCTGTTAGTCTTTAGATACATATCCATGATCCATCAATACGGAAATGTTTATTATTCTGTAGTTGAGAGTAAGATAAATAAAAAAGAACCTGGCCAGGGAAGAAGGCACAAGAGCATATCTACACTACAGTGTATGCACAAGAAAAAGGCTTCGTCTTGTACATTAATTAAGTTCATTACCGCTATAATAGTGGAGCAACAATACCCATTGGCTACATGGTATTGTGAAACTTGTCCTTTTTTCTATTCTAGTGGTTCTTTGACAATTCTATATTGTTCAGTTTCATTCCTATATGAGTGCTGTTACTACTGAGTGTAGGTTGGCAGAAAGATCAAAATTAAGAATGGCGCAACACCGCTGCCGACACATCAGAGTGTGAAAAGAACTTAATGACTTCTTGTACTATATTGTCAATCGACTAGAGTGGTATTTAATCATGACAGATAGGTGATGGAGTGTATATTAGGGATAATAGCAACTTTATTACTATATAGCCTTATATATTCAGTAAATTGCCTTTCATCATGTGGTAGTCAATAATAACTTGATTCTTTGTATTACATTACTAGCGATAACCACTAATAATTTTAATTATTTGTATTAGGTGGAAAGATCCGTGTCTTACAATGAACACAGGCCAAGGAGGCCACCTCCAGATTTGCCGTCATTGCTTCTCCATGGAAGAATAGTGTACCTTGGCATGCCGGTATCTGCTTCTGTTTCTACTATCACTGTATTTACACTAACCGAAGGGAGAGTGAGGGGTGCTAACTGCCATTTATTTTCTTTGCTTCATTATTTCTTTTGGTTGGTTTTTTCGTAAAAGAAAAAAAGGGAGGAATTTCATAAACATCTATTCTGATTAGGTAAAGAACTTGAAAGTCAAGCGCGGTAAGAGGTAAAAATAAGTGGGTTCCATCTTATAGCATTATCTTATTAACCGTTCCTGTATCTTTGTTGCTGTCACCTCTTCAACTATAGAAGTTGAAAAATGGTGCAATTGCTAATTTGCAATATTATAAAAGTAAAGTCAAGGGTTCTGAATGGTAGGTGGTAAAATTAATTTGAAAATGTCAAGGGTGGCCCAAATTTCTGTACAGAAAACTCTCTTTCTCTCTGTGCTCCTTTCAGTTAAAAGAGCATGGAAATCTTCGATCTTGATATGTAATTTGATGTTGTTGAATATGGTTGATTCACTGACTTTAGACTTACTATCTTCATCAAAATATCAAATTTTATAACTCAATGACTATTAAGATGTATTCTTTATATTACTAATTGCTGACCAAAATGGAACCATTATTTTGATTTACAAGTTCTATTGTACTTTTGGATTGCTAGGAAATATACCATTATCACGCAAGGTTGTGTTTATGTTTACTGATGGACGGCCTTCATACACAAATGAACTACTAAAAAACACAACTTTGCCAGGCATAAAACAATTCAACTACTTGTATCACATGGAAACTTTTTCATATAAAACAATTCAACTACTTGTATTTATGGATCCTCTGTTTACTGATGAACGGCCTTCATACACAACATATCCAGGCATAAAATGCTGTGCTTGTTTTGCTAATGTGGAATTTTTCACTGAAGATGTATCACGTGGGAACTTTTTTATATAAAACAATTCAACTACTTGTACTTACGGAGCCTTTGTATAACTTCGTCTCAGTTGGTGCCGGCAGTCACAGAACTCATCATTGCAGAATTAATGTATCTACAATGGATGGATCCCAAAGAGCCTATATATCTTTATATAAATTCCACAGGAACTACTCGTGATGATGGTGAATCGGTGAGCCTTTTTTCTTCAGCGTCTTTCGTTAGGTTGTGTATAACGGGAAGACTTCTGGCAAGTTTCTTCAGGGTTTTTGATGATTGGATTTCTTCTTATTAATCGTCTATTTTTCTGTATTCGCCTTCTTTTTTCATTTTCTGGATTTTTTTCTACACTTCTATTGCTGTTTAGCATGTTTATGATTGTGATTTGGCTAGGTGAAGCTGTAACTTTTATAATACACTTGATTCCTCCATAGATGGCATGCGCTTATTTAATTAGTTGATCGAATAGAGATCAAAATTTTCCCCAACTTGTATGGATGTATCCTTTTAGTTATAAAGCATAACAAGGTTTTTTAAAAAGTTGATGGATAACGGCACATGCGATTTTCCCTTGAAGTCTTTCTTGATGATCAAACAACGGTTTTTCTAATCCTTTGACTTTGCTCATCATGATCAGGTAGGAATGGAAACAGAGGGTTTTGCAATTTATGATGCTATGATGCAATTGAAAAACGAGGTACATGCTTGCCATTTATATATGGTGTCTCTGTAATTTTTACAATATTGAATTATGTCTGCTTAAAGCTTGGTTCCCTGCCATCTTTGTGGTTCTTTGGGTGCCTGAGACGCAATATGGACTCATAAGCACATTCCAAGTGATTCATTTGGACAATTGCTTCTGAATTTTAGTTAATGGTATATTGTTCTCTTTTTAACCTCATTTCTGCTTGGAAGATCAAGACATGAAGGTTAATATTTTGGTCTTTAATGGTGGGACCTTCTACAAGCTAGGCTTCAATATGCTTAAGGAGTTTGGTTATGGTGAATGGGAACTCTCTATATAGTTATGGTATTTGTGCACATCTCTTTTGCATATATTATTCTGTGAAATATAATATCATCCAACTGCCATGTCTAGAGGCAACTTTGCATTTTCAAAAGCAAGTGATTACTGTAGATGCACCATAAACCTGAGGCCGGCCCAGGCCCAGGCTAGGACTGGGATTTTTTTGCTTACTGAAAACAGGCCCAGGAGGCCGGGCCTTGTGCATCTTTAGTTGTTACGTTCTTAACAAAGTACACATAATTTAAATATGGATCTGATGACTTGAGATGAGGGAGGGATGCTAATTGGAAATGTCTAATGTTGGGACTGGGCAGTGATTTATAATGCAAGGCCTCTGCTAATTACTTCTTGGTATGATGTAAACAAAGGCTGGTGGTGGTTCAAATGGTGTTAGTTTGATTAATGGTTGTGATGGTTTTTTGGTAGATGAGTGTGTTACATTTCTGATCTTTCAATAGGAAAGGTTTTCTTTTGGTAGGATGAGCTTAGTTAGTTTGGACGACCATTTGTATGCTTTTTCAGTCAAGGATTTAGAATATCTACAAGTTGAGCTGTGTAACCCTAATAAGAAGTAACCAAACTCATCCTAATCCAAATTAACTTTTCTATTGGATCATCACTTCTATTCATTTTTCAGTTTTCAGAATACTCACTTCCTCGCTACAGAAATGTAAATAGTTACTTCTTGTGAAAACCTCATAGTGTATAACAGTATTTGTGCATTCTTTCTCTATACATAACCTACGTTGTCTCTTTTTAGATTACATGTAAAATGCTCATCCTGTAGGGATCTCGTACATCTCTTTTTAGATGGTTATGAATGTTTTCTCTTTCTAACAGCAATCTTTCTAAAATCTTACTCCTTTTTAGAAATTTATGTACATATTTTATACTTGTGATCTCTCTTGTAGCAATGTTTGCTCATCTTCTGATTTCTTGTTTGTTAAAACCCAAAAAATCTCAACCCTATACTTAATTTAAGATCTGTAATGAACAGGTTGATTATGTGTTAATTTTGGTTTTCAGTAAGTTAAAGACAATCCAACATGCGTACAAACCTTGATTATGACAAATTTTAGCCAAACCCGGGTATATAATATGCAAAATCCAACCTGACCGAACCCAATTTCGGTTGGGCAATGAACCAACCTTATAACCCAACTTGTGTGCACCCCTTTGAATAAGCTTGATTGTGATTAATTGTGATGTGACTTGTGAGGAGTATATTGGTTACCCTCACACCCTTCCATCCATACAATTACAGGTTTGTAAATCCGACCATCCTGCGTCTTTCATTGCTTTATCTATATGTCTACAGATGATTGGTCTTTGTCTTGTGTCATAATCTGTCAGATTGTAGAAGTATGTGAACTAGCTACAGTTTTAGGAGGGGAAGTTTGTGCTCTTTTGGTTGTGTACCTCCATTTGTTAAAATCTGTCTTTAATTTGTTCAACAGATTTTCTGTGTAATAAATTATTATTGACTTCTCATATTTTGAATGAGTTGATTTTCTGGCTATACAACTTGATTCCTGAAAATGAAAAAAAGCACATCAGTACTCACTGTGCAACATTTAATGCTGCAAGCACTTAAGATGCAAGTATCAAACCATAGTATTTCTGTGTTAAGATTATATCCTGCATTATTTGAGTGATGCTGGAATGTGTGCATTGATTGGTATAGTTTATGTTTCCTTTTTGATATTCCAATATTGCCCTTTTGACTCTATTTTTTAATAATTTCATGTGCAGATACATACTGTTGGAGTTGGAGCTGCTATAGGTCATGCATGTCTTTTGCTTGCTGCTGGGGCTAAGGGCAAAAGATTTATGATGCCACATGCAAAGGGTATGATATAAATTTGTATATATTTCTTGCCATCTTTATCATATGCTGCTTTCAAATAATCATAAGTATTTGTTTTGTTTTAAGCTATGATACAACAGCCCCGTGTTCCTTCATCTGGATTGATGACAGGCAGTGATGTTCTCATACGTGCAAAGGAGGTGTGTCTTAATTCTTGTACCAAGTACTTCACATTCTTGTTTTGAAGTTTTGGAGTAACATGATCTTCTAGTATATTATAATTTATCAGCACGATAAATAGCATAGATGAATCAATTTGCAATATATTTTTCTTTCTTTTCCCCATTGCGACAAGAAGCTTTCTATCTGAAACTAGTTGGGCTAGGCTTAAAACGAAACCAACAGAAGTTTAGTTGTTGAGGAATGAACTAGTCATATGGCTCTAAGACATGTATAGATCGTCAAGCTTTCTTAATGCCAATTTATTTTGTCTTCACTATTCACTAAACTCATCGCTTTATTTTCCTCCTATTACTGTTGCCCTGCCCATAGCCTTCTCATGAGCTAAATAAATTCTCACTCATGCATCATCTATTATATGCTTTGGATGACCAAACCATGTCAAGTGGTGTTACCTTAGTTTTTACCCAAAAAGGGTGCCCATGCATCTCAAATTTTAAATTATATAATTTCTATAATCTTCTATGTATACTGTGCCTTTTGCTTTGCCCAATATGCTACTATACGAATCATAACAGGTATTCCCACCATATGAAAATCTCAAGTATTTGGTGGCATTATGCAATTGAGGAATTCAAAAGACTTGTCGTTTGCCACTAGCCTAGAAGATGACAATGATGAAATACACAAGATTTATAGCAAATTTAAGAACTTCTATATGATTATCAATGAGGAGGATTGACCAACAAAACAAGACCAAAATCATGGCCACCTTCATCAAAGATATGGCAACGAATGAGGCATGGGAACAATATTTGAACATGCATGTTATGTCATGGAATAATTGTGACTTAGGTAACAAGAAAAAGGCAAAACATATTACTCTTTCTGACTTTGTATTTGTGTAGAAGGTCAATTTTCCGTTCACATATTCTTCTCGTCATAGTCTTCATATCTCAAGCATGAAGGGCATTATATCTCTTTTCCTTCCTTGAATGTTCCTGCACTATCAACATCATCATCAATATTTTTATCCTTCTCTAACATCAGCTTCAAATTCCAAAAGGTATAATGTGTTGGTACCTTTTGGTGGACATGTCATATCATATACTTTGTAGCACCACTATAGTACTCTTCATTTGTCTTGTTTCAACCTAGCTTAGCACTAAATTATCAGATTTGACAATGTTTCTCCCGAAGTTGTTTAAGGCTCAAGGCGCACTGAGGCACTGCCGTGAGGTGCCGGCCTCAAGAATGTGAGGTGCTGGCCTCAAGAATGTGAGGTGCATCTTATAGAAAAAAAGTACATGTATATACACACACAGTTACACACAACTCAAACATGTAGCAAGTACAAGCTCCAATGCAGCAATCAACGGTACTTTGATAGAGGCAGAATGGAGAAGGGTTTAAAGCGTGAGCCGTGAGGAAGAAGTTTTAAGGGCCGAGTATTTATAGAGAAAGAGGCCTTGAAGTTCCAAGGACCGGGTATTTAATATTAGGGTTTGATTTATGTCATCTATTTAATAACTCTTCTTTAAAGAAGTCTAGGAGCTGAGAAGATGAGAGAACTTATTTAATATCAGGGTTTGACTAGGTATTTAATAAATCTTTATGAGGCGCCCCTAGGCCCACAAGGCCCCTCAGTCAAAGTGCAGGGCCTTAGTGAGCCTCGTGAATACTCGTAGCCCCTCGACCTTAAAAAGCGTAAGATGTTGAGCCTTATGAGCCTATAGCCTAGGCACGCGTCAGGCGCACTTTTAGCAACTATGCTTTCTCCTTGTGCCGTTATCGCGGTGCTAAGCAAGAATTGTAGTCAGCTCCTTGATTTGCTATATCAGGAAAAACGATGGTATAGTGGAAAATGATAGCGGTTAATATAGTATTTAAGAATATTTATAAATATGTAGTACTGGATATATGTAATATATATTTGATAGTAATATCTAATGAAACCATAGAGTATCAACATCACCGAATGAGCTCTCTGTCTATGCTGTTATTTGCGTCGCTATTGCGCTGCAACAGCGGATTGCGGACTAAGGTGAAATTGCGGCGAAAATTGTGTTTCCGATATTAGCGGTGCAATTGACCGATATTTGACTGTATTTGAGGTGGAATTCCGAACATATATTCCGATATTTTAGCTTGTGCCTCTTTAGAACTATGTTGTTATTTTTTTGGGCTATTATTTTGAGTTTTTGACTTGGGCTTCTAATTAGATTTGCGCCCTTATCAACATATGGTTTATAAACTTAAATCAAAATGTTAGGTTTTCAATCCAATATTGTATCCATCCTTACCAAGTTCGACGACAACTACAGTCAACCAAGAAAAGTTCAACTTTCTTCTCGTGTTCTCCACTGAGTCGACAACAGCTTCTGCTCCACTCCACCTTCTTTTTCATCGTCGATCCTCAACAGCTTCCGCTCCACTCCACCTTCTTCTTCATCGTCGATCCTCTAGAGCTTCCGCTCCACTCCACCTTCTTCTTCATCGTCGATCCTCTAGAGCTTNAGCTTCCGCTCCACTCCACCTTCTTCTTCATCGTCGATCCTCTAGAGCTTCCGCTCCACTCCACCTTCTTCTTCATCGTCGATCCTCTAGAGCTTTTGCTCCAGTCCATCTTCTTCATCGTCGATCCTCAAGTCCTCAACAGCTTCGGCTCCAACATACATACACACATACATACATACATACATACATATATATATATATATATATATATATAATTCTAATAAATATTATATTGACCGTTATACCACCGCTATAACCCCTATTTCAAATATTGCTCCCGACTGCAATTTTGTATTTTCACCGCTATAACAGCATAGCTCTTTGTTATCTCGGTAGTCACTTTAGGACAACCTTGTACTTGTCCTCTAATGTGAGTGGGATGTTGCTTCAATCTAGTGTTCCTTTTAAAGGAACATTATGTGCATCAAATATTACCCTTTTTAATGGGATCTTTCTATGTTTCCCATTCCCATACCATATCCATGTTTGGCATTTTGTACTTTCATTGGATGTAGTAGTGTTCGAAGTAGCACACACTATCAATGAATCAGCTTCCATGCTAAACCAAATTAAGAGACTTGATTAACTAATAATCTAATACCTAATAATCTATAGATATTAGTCCAACTGTTAATCTTCAATTGAGGTAAATGCAACTCCAATTGAATGGCCTGAATATCCAATAGGGCTGAGGGCAAGCACTTCGTAATAGTAATCCAACATGGTCTAAATATCTAACTGGGTGTCGATTTTAGGGCAGCAGGAAAAACAACAGCAACAACAACCTAGTTCATTGTCTTTGCTTAGGACTAAAATATGCCAACAACTGGGCAGCAAAAACTTCTTCATCGTTGACATTCATAACGATGCTGATGATGAAGGGAAGTTCTGATGAGGAAAACAACAAAGGGAAGAAAGGAAAGCGAAAGGATCTTATTTTTTATTTCCGAAAGAGAGCCCTTCAATTTCTGGCAGTAACTCATCGTCCTCTTCAAATCTTTATCTTTCCCAACATCAGCTTCAAGTTCCATAAGATATAATCTGGTGACATATCATATCATCCACTTCCCTCGTAGCAACACTATAACTACATTTCATCTACCTTGTTTCAGCATAGTTTAGCACTAAAGTCTTAGATTTTGACGGTCCTAATAAGATTTTCATAATGTCTTACCATGTTTTTAACAATTTAACATGATATGATTGGGCAAAACATACATATATTACTTTGGACGTCATAATGAGCTCATCCATCTTTGTTTTGACCTTTATATAATCTCTATTTTAATCTAAGCAGCTAACGCAATTGTGTTCTGAAATCACGATCATGACCGTTTATTGACATAGCGGTTATGGCGTTGGTAAAGCAGTTAAAAGATTAGGTTTATATAATAAATACAAATAGATATATATAAAGAAGAGTAAACTTTACTTTTCATCCCTGTGGTTTGCAAAAAACCCCCGAAAGTGGTCCATAAACATCAAAAGAATTCTTGAGACCTCCATTTTCAACCTTCTTGACTCCTTGGAAGGATGATTGGAGCATGTAAATCATTGAATCCCGTTGGATCACCCACAAATAATAGTCTTTTATTTCTTAGGGGCTGTCTGGTACATTGAATCCAAAGGATTTCAAGGTAATTGGAATGGTCAATTCCTTTGACCAGATTCCAGTTCATTTGTTTATTTCACATATTGAAAATGTTGGAATCCTTTGACTGCCATTGAATTTCTTAGGTTAAAGATTTCATCATTCCACGGGATATCCCAAAGATCCCACTTCCTTTAACTGTTCCATCCAACCACACACGTGGTCAAATTCCATTCCAGTTTCTTCAAAGTCAAATTCCGTTGATGGATTCCAATTCCACCAAATTCAGTTCTGCGAACCAAATGCCCCCTCGGTCTCTCTACTACTGTTTTGCATGATATTCACTCTCCAACGTGGGGGGCTACTGAGTCATGTAGCTTCTTGGACTGGTTGTAGAAGACTAGTTGTAATTGGTAAAGACTAATAATTATGTTGGGAGTATAAAAGGTTTGCTTATTCTTTCCAATATCTAATTTGGGTCTTTTGACATATTAAACTGCATTTTCAGGTAATAAATAACAAGGACACACTTGTTGGCCTCTTGTCAAAGCACACCGAGAATGTGAGTAGTTAGTTAGTCTGCTTGTTCTTTGCTTCCTTTTATTTTAGGATGTGCATGGAATATAGAACTCTGATTGGATGAACAATGTTTCACTAGTCAGTGGAGACTGTTACGCAAGTGATGAGAAGACCGTTTTATATGGATTCCACTAAAGCCAAAGAGTTTGGTGTAATCGATAAGGTACATCCGTGTCCATCAATACTATGTATGTATCATGTTGCAACTCCTTGTGGTTTCGCTAATGAGATTTCTTTGCTGTTCAGATACTTTGGCGTGGTCAGGAAAAGATCATGTCAGATGTTGTGCCACAGGAGGCATGGGATAAGAGCGCTGGGATTAAATCTCTCGATGCCATGTAGTAAAGTTGCTTATACTTAAGAGGTAAATAAATACCCTTGCTTATTACCTCAACTCTTAGGTTTAAGATTTATAATGCTGTGCTTCCTGCGTTAACAATATCGTCTCATTTTTTAACCGTCTTTCAATCAAAGCCTTTTAAGTTCTTGTATATTATTGGTACATCACTTGTTAAAATGCAATTCTTTTTCTTTGAGTTTTAATTTTACTGGATTTTATTGATTTATTCTTCCTCATTGCACATTCTTTTCTGTTCTGAATTGGCAAAAGAGAGGGATTTGAACCTGCTACCACTTAGAAGGCAGGTTGGGAACTATGAAAACATTTGACATTCCACTTTGCACGTTTGTTTGTTGTCCCAAAATAAGCATCATAAATGTTCGGCAACCATATGTTAATTTGTTTTTTGTGTTTATTAGAAAGGTCCTTTTTTTTTAAAACTTGGGGTTTTTTTCTTCACTTTTTTCCAAATATGTCCTTGTATTTTACATAAAAGCCCCTTACATTTTTCCTATTTTATGTTGTCATCTAGCTTGTTAGCCAATTTTTATCAAACGTGACATGACTAGTTTATTAGCAAAGAGCTAACTTATTAGCTAGTTTGGCAACATAACCTTAGTACGAGCACCACATTGTCCCCGAGTCCACGGCTTCATTGCATGTAACAAGGATTGTTTCTAATATTTTAAATATTGACAAACAAGTGAAAACATACTTATGTAGGATATTTTAAATCACTTGTGACAAATAAGAAACTAAGGTCCCATTTGGTTTGCGGGATTGGATTGGATTTGGAGGGATTTAGAATTGAAACCCATTCAATCCCATGTTTGGTTTGAAGGTTTTTCTGGATTTGGAATCCCATGAACATAGGATTTTGAAATCCTTCGGGGGTGCTTGGTATTTCACATGATTTTGTAGGATTGTATGTAATAATGTTTTAAAAAATGTTAAAAACATTTATTTTGTAATAATCAATCACCTCTTATTTATGAAGAATGGAATCTAATTCCATTCCAAATCCTACAAACCAAACACACGAAAGATTCCAAATCCCTCAAAACTATTCCATCAAACCAAACGATCCCTGATATTGTTGTGACCCAATTTTGAGTGCAGGATTACCAACTCATAACTTGGAAGATAAGCTGTCCAAATGCAGCAGGGATCAGATGCTGAAGTTGTATCTTAATGTTGGGTATACGTATAGGGTAGTGGTGGGATGTTGCTGATATGAACTTGTTAGATCCAATCTACCCAGAGATTTACTTTTCAAATTGTACCCAGAAGTATCAGCAGATATAGGACATGAACGAGCACACATGGCATTGCATTTTGCACATACTGAATTCATTCTTGTAATACCAATTTCATGTTATGCTCGTAAACAGACACACTCACAAATAATCTCTCTGGACCAAAATCTTGACAGGTGTCTTGTAGGTGCGGATTACATATGATTTTTTTTTCTATTTGTCTAAGTGGCCCCACCCAACGTCACATTCCAATTCACAGTAATTAAAATAGCATAGTGTAAACATTTCTTGCCTCGTAAGCGTTAATTAGGAAAGGCCTTATTTGTTAGTAACTTGACAAGTTTAATGGAACTTATAATTTATTTGGTCAACTATAAGCCTATAATTGACCATTTGATAATTGGTTAATGATATAAAAAGTGGCTTGTCAGTAAGCTTTTAAAAGGAGCTTTATGAAGAAAGTCAATTTTTTTTTCTTTCAAATATGCTCTTTTTAATGAAAAAACAAGCTCTTTCTATTTTAGAGTAAACGACGATTTTTGTTCATGTGGTTTATGAAAGATTGCGATTTCCTTTATGTGGTTATGAAAGATTACGATTTTCGTCCTTATGATTTTGAAAATTTGATTTTTGTCCTTATAGTTTATAATTTTTAGCTATTTCTGTCCTTGAAAGTAAATCTATTAAAATGCTCTTTTTAACTTAAAAGGTATTTTAGTTTTTGATTTTCTTTTAAATCTTTTTGGTTTATTAAATTTCGTTTTTTGTACTTTAGTGCTTTTAATTTAATCAAACTACATATTTTTTGATAAAAGAATTAATACCTAAGAAATTATAATATTTTGTGGAAAAATAATTAAATATTTATAATACAGATCATTGTCTTATATTTTATGTCATCATGGTTTTAATTTCTTATTAGTTCAATTTGTCGCTAACGTCATTTAAGATTGCAAGTCGTTGACATGATAGTATTTTAATTCTTTTTTATTCATTAGGGACTAAACAATCAATTTTTTTTATAAAACCATACAATTAGCTATATTAGGCTATTTTTACCAAATAAATGTATGCGATTTAATTAATAAAATGTATAATTTTATAAACATATTGTAACACATTTATACAAGACGTACCTTTTGTTTTGTATAATTGAAAGGACTTATTAGACCAAACAATTGTACTTCTCTTTGATAAAATCACATATATTTGTTTGGTAAGAATAGTCTAACATTGTTAATCGTTTTGTCCTTAATGAAAAAAATGGATTAAAATATTATCATGTGAGAGGTGATTAACGCTTGAATGACGTTAGTAACAAATCAAACTAATAAGAAACTGAAAATATTAAAATAAACCAGTTGTATTAAAAATATTTTAATTATTTTATCATAAACAATATCGAATAATATTTTTTTTTATCTATTAACCTTTTTTATCATAAAATATATAGTTTAATTGAGACAAAAATACAAAAGAATATATTTAATAAATAAAAAAAATCAAAAAGATTAAAATATCCTTTGAGTTAATGGAGGAGTTTTAATATATTTACTCTCAAGAATGAAAATAATAATAAATTACAAACTATAAGAACGAAAATCGCAATCTTTCTCAAACCACAGGGACAAAAATTGTAATTTACTCTTCTATCTATGAATAAAAACTCTTCAAACATTTTTTTTCAGTTTATACAGACAGATTAATCCATAAAAACCTTAATGAAAAATCAATCAAACAACCAATGTAAATATTATTTTTCATATTTCTAAACAACTTTATTATTGAAATCAAAACAGAATACAAACAATAAGAAGAAACTAAACAGATTACACAATGAATATCTAAACAACTATTAACATTGAATCTAATGTAAGAATCAAGAAATACCAACTCTGATGAAGATCGTTTAGGACCGATGATATATCGATAACTAAGAACAAACTATGAAAGAGATAATGAGAGCTTCTTGAATATTCAATAGTCGTAAAGAAGAAAAATGAATTTGTGTGAGCTGTATCCGACTCCACACCCCCTTATATATGAAAGATGAATTGGCAGAATTGGTCCCTGAAGATTCACGATAAGTGCTCCGCTACCCTTTATGTTTCCAAGATAGTGAGGCGCAGTCCTTCATATCTAGCAGACAACTTCAACTTTAAGCAATTGACAAATCTACCCAAAACTGTTCAAGGATTAACAAATCAAGGACATTTCAAAGTCAAGTTAGTAATATGCTAGGATAGGTCAAGATTGGATAGACATGTATTTTAACACCCGCCCTCAATTTTGACCTTTAAACAAATCTAACATTCTTAACGTTGAACATAAGTAATTATGTTGATTTATACTTAAAGCTTTAGTCAAAATATCAGCTGTTTGTTCAGTGGTAGAAACTTTAACAATTTTCAGAACGCCTCTACTAATTTTTCACGAATATAGTGAATATCTATTTCGATGTGTTTAGTTCTTTCGTGAAAAACAAGATTATTTGCTATTTGAATAGCGGATTTGTTATCACAATACATATTAACAGGAAGAAGATTATTAATATCCAAATCAGATAAAATCTTAAGAACTCAAATAATTTCACACGATACAGAGGCCATGGCTCTGTATTCAGATTCAGCCGACGAGCGCGAAACAGTACTCTGTTTCTTACTTTTCCATGAAACAAGAGAGTTCCCAAGAAATAAACAATAACTTGTAACTGAGCGTCTGGATGATAAACACTTACCCCAGTCAGCGTCTACATAAGCTGTTAGGTTAAAATTTTCTGACCATGTAATGCTGATGCCCTTTCCCGGAGATAATTTAAGATACCTGAGAATTCTTAATGCCAAATTTAAATGCGACTGCCTAGGAGCATGCATAAACTGACTCAGACAATGAACAACAAAGGCTATATCCGGTCGGGTTGCAAGAAGGTAAATTAATCTTCCTAATAATCTTTGAAAACCAGAACAATCAGCCAAAAGATTATCACTTGAATTATTAGAACCAGATATAACAAGATTAACTTCCATAGAAGTACTAGATGGTTTACATCCCAAATACCCAAAATCATTTAATAATTCTAAACAATATTTCCTTTGGGACATGCAAACACCATTAATACAATGTAGAATTTCTATTCCTAAAAGGAATTTTAATTTTCCTAGATCTTTAATTAGAAATTTTCCTTTTAAGTACTCTTTAAAAGCATTAATCTCATTAACACTATTCCCCGTAATAACAATATCATCTACATAAACAAGGAGAACAAGAAACACAGAATCAACATGTTTTGTGAACAACAAATAATCACTAATACTCTGTACAAACCCATTCTCAATTAAGCAAGAGGACAACTTTGCATACCATTGCCTGGGAGCTTGTTTAAGCCCATATAATGACTTAACAAGTTTACACACCCTTTTTTCCTTAGGATCATAATAACCCTCAGGAAGAGTCATATATACATCTTCAACAAGATCACCATAAAGAAAAGCATTATTGACATCCAATTGAAACAAAGGCCACTTATATTGAACAACAAGAGCAATTATACATCCAACAGTAACCATTTTTACTACTGGGGAGTAAGTCTCCTCATAGTATAGGCCCTCTCTTTGACTGTATCCCTTAGCTACTAATCTAGCTTTRTACCTTTCAATTTCACCATTGGACTTATATTTGATTTTATAGACCCATTTACAGCCTATAGCTTTTCTATTACTAGGTAAATCAGTTACATACCAAGTCCCATTTCTATGCAAAGCCTCCATCTCTTCATTCATAGCATTTGACCAATTTTTGATCACAACAAACATCTTTAAAAGATTTGGGCTCAACAGATTTATTTAAATTTGACACAAAACATAAATTATCCGAAGAAAGACAAGAATAATTAACAACCCTTTCTATACCATACTTGACCTTACCTTCGACAACAAAGTCATCGAATTTTCGAGGGAAGTTACTAGCTCTAGAGAATCTTCTAAGAGATTGAGTTTGGGGAATATTTCCCTCAGAGATAAGACCTGGATTATCATCAGTATTTGATACCACAACATCACTAGGAGGGCTTGCAACCAGTCTAGGGCTACCCAAAGGCTGCCAACTGGTAACTCTACCAAGACTATCCTCTTGGGGAAGACTTTGTCTATCCTGATCATTAGAGCTGCCTAGAGGCTGACTATCACTGACCCTAGATAGGCTACCTAGTTCTCTTTGGTTACTGTTACTAGATTTGTCATGACCATTAAGGTCGTCAGCAAAAGGTCTCTTATTCTCATCATCGGGTCCCACAACATCAAACTCATTAGATGAACCATAAATAGTATCAAAGAAATTCAAATTATTAACATTTTCATTTTTAGTCAAACCAGTTTCCTCATTACCCATTTTGAAAGGAAAGATATTTTCATAAAACTTTTGTGTCTCTAGCAAAAATGATCCTCTTGGTTTCTAGGCTATACAACCTATAACCCTTTTTTGAATTAACATATCCCAACATAATGCAGTTCTCAGATTTGGGAGAAAATTTGTCAGACACATTGGGTATAAGCACAAAACAGAGACATCCAAAGTTACATAAATGAGTTAAAACTGGCTGTAAATCATAGATAAGCTCGTAAGGGCTCTTACCATTTAAAAGGGAAGTGGGAGTGCGATTTATCAGATAAGTAGCAGTTAAGACACATTCATTCCACATGTTAAGAGGCACTCCAGCCTGAAACAAGTGAGCCCTGACAACATTAAGGAGGTGTCTATGCTTTCGTTCAACCACCCCATTTTGCTGGGGTGTATAGACACAAGAAGTCTGATAAACAATGCCTTTTGACTCAAAGAATTCACACAACCTTTGGTTGGTGAACTCAGTCCCATTGTCACTCCTAAAACCTTAACATTTTTTTCCAAATTAGGTAAGCAACAGATTACAGAAACTCTCAATATGATCAAAAACCTCATGTTTTCCTTTTAAAAGATAAACCCACACAGTGCGGGTAAAGTCATCAACCACAGTTAAGAAATATTTGTACCCTTCTCTGCTTTGGACGTGGTAAGGACTCCAAACGTCTAAGTGAACAAGTTCACCTAGACTTTCAGACTTGTGTATACTAGTGCCTAATTTTTCACGGGTTTGTTTTGCCTTA